GCTCTTCTGCTACCAGGAACAAGGGAGTCACAAGACTGCATGCCAACACTGGTATTTCAGCTTTGCTTCTGTTGTTAGAATGCTTTTTTTAACTTTGTGGAGTTTTTAAATCTTTTTCTTAGTTTCCACCCTGCTTCCCCTAAAGGATACAACACATCTCAAGGTGCATAAATTAATGTAGTTTGAAAATGAACTCTAGAGGCCATCAATCCTAATCTCCCTCTCTCACAGAAGGGCTAGGTCTAATATGCATGGTATGTTCACACATGATAAAAGAAGGTAGGGAACGTTTTCCTGTTTCCAGAATTTGCTCACATCATGCTGGAAGGTAGGACTGGTTTCAGAAGGCGTGTTGGGGCCATTGGTTTAATTCTTCACTGTGAAGAAGACAAAGACTTGTGAAAAAAATGATACAATAAAGTAGAAAAAAAACCCCTAATGTATCTTGTTAACTAGTTATTTGCAGTGTGGAAAAACTGCTTTTTCAAATTCAAATAGTCTGCATAGTGGTAATTTGTTCTAGTCTCAAAGGGAAGAAACAGTTGTCTGGTTTATCTTTACATAGTTCACTAGCCTTTGTCATGTTCCCTGTTATTTACAAGCTCTCTCAACAGTTTTGTTCCACACTTCTTTTTTCTCCTATCTTCTTTCCAATTAAAAAATGTTCTTTTCCTCTAACCATATTCAGTGCCTGAAATCTCTTTGTTTTCCTGTTATTCTCTTCTTCAGGTTGATACCTTGGAATAAATTTGTTATACTTCACTGTATGAACTAGAATATTTTGGGTTCTCTCATAGACATAATATTGAAATAGAATTTGGAATTACTCTGATACTTATCTTTTAGAGGGTTGGTATACAAGCATGGTGTGTAGGAAGAACTTCCAAAACCTGACACACTTTTTGCTCATTTCATTCTTTCCTTATTTTTACTTTATTCACTATTATCTTCTGATTAATCTTCGTAATTATTAGGAATTACCATATGATATTTTTGTGAATCCAGACAAGGAGATGCAAATGGGAAAGCTTAAGAGTTCTTTCTCTGATACTGTCAAGAAGTACAGGAGAATATTTCCTGCAGCAGACCTGTAAAACTGCAGAAGTGCAGGACCTCAGTCACATCTGTTTGTGCCAAAAGGAAGTGAGATCCTCCTCCTCTCCTCTAGACTATTGAGATTAATAAGCAGATCATCATGAGCTCTGAAAATTATAACTGCTTTGGAATAAAAGAGCATAAACTCTGGGGAAGGAAACAAGCTAATTATTGCTGTCTTTGCTTTGTAGCATTTTCTTGGAAATGCATCCGTTTGTTTTGTTACATTTGGAAGCACTGCTCTTTCCTCTTCATTTTTCTTTCTGTATGCATTGATCCTTTTGTTTACATGCCAGTGACTTGCCTTAGTAGCTATTTCTTCATATTTATTGTATGTTTGTGAAAGACAATCATGTCTCATTACCCTTTTTTTGTTTCTACTCTGGAAGCCAATACTTCTTTCATGCCTTCTTCCCCCATCATCCCCCACCTCCTATCATCACAAAAAGTTAGAGGGTTTTGTTCTGGATTGTTTTTGTCAACCCTTTAGAAATGAAAAACATTCACATTTCCTCATTCTTTTCACCTGCCACAGTGTCCTGCTGGTTTCTCAATAGATCTTGACGGCTTTGTTCTTTAAAACTAGCTCTCTGTTCCCAAGATGAAGTCCATCACAGAGTAGTGAAAGGCAGTATCACCACTTAAAAGGAGATTGCATCCATTCTCTGCAGGCTCTTTGCCATCTTGTTTGCTTTTCCCTGCAAGGTTGTAGCAGAAGAAAGGGACTAAAAGGTTCCAATTACTTACCTGCTATTTCCTTACTGTTACTCACAAACCTATTTTGACTTTGTGCTACTTACACTTATTTATTACTCACAGTTCATAACTGTAATCCCAGTATATATTCTGAGTGGTCTTCCTCAAATGCTGTTATGATATTTAATACCTCTCCTCAGCTGTTTTACACCCTTTTTGAAAACCTACATTACCTGAACTTATTCAACAAGTGATACTTTGAAAGGGCGTACAAGTTAGCACTTTTCCTGTATGTATCTTAAGAGATGAGGTAGGAGACCTCAAGCACAGAGCTCATTGCCTTAGTGATGTTTTAAGACTTGGGTCATAAGATCCTTTTGGAGTGGCACATGTCAGATGATGCCCAGAAGGTCTGAAGTGGATGCATTAGACTAGCTGGGCATGTCCTGTAGTAGTTCTGCATGCATAATGTAGGCCTGCTCTGCCTGTTCCTGAGTGCTTGTGCCTGATTTTTTTCTATTATTTGCACTCTCTCCTTTTCTGAAGTGGCTGAATGTGGTTGAGGAATTGAAGTCCAGTTCTAGATGTGTAGCCTGAAAACCCTAGTTCCTTTTTTCCCCCCATTGCAGTTGCCAGACGTTGTTGCTTGAAAGTTGAAATCATGTTCTTCATCAGTTGTAAAGCATTCCTTATTCACAAGTCACACCTGGAAACAGAAACATCACCAATTTCTCCAGCACCAGTGCTGTCCATTTGTCTCCTGGACCAATTGTGTAGAAGTGAGAAAATAGTTTAGTTTCTGTGTCTGCTTGTTTCTTGATCTCTTCATCGTCTTCTCTCTCAAAAAAACCCCCTACCTTGATTATGGTCATTGTGCAAAATGTCTATGCCAGTATTTTCAAACTGCATCCTTAATGCAATAAGATCTTTAATACTGAGACTTGCTTCATTCTTCATTGGTTATGCAGAGGTGGCTGTGAAAGGCAGGAAAAGAGCTGGAGAGGTCTCTGTGCGCAGAGCCCCGCAGTTATCTGTGCTTCCCCTGCACGTGGTTAACAGACCAGTGGTGGCCCCCAAGCTATAGTAGATGTCTAGAGTAGGTTTATGAAACCATACTGCCTTTACTGGGCTTTGAATTAAAAGGCAGTTTGTACATGAACATGTGTCAAAACATTTGCAGGTCAACAGTGAGCTGTTACAAAAATATTTGGCGACCGCTGTGGTAAAGGTTTTCTCTAAATGTAATACATTCAAGCATTTCATACAAATATTTACAGCATCTACAGTATCTAGAGCCTTTGTCTCTGAGGTGCTTGATGTTAACAGCACTCCTTGTGTGTCACCAGTGGAAAACCAAACATAAAGTGATTGATTGACTCAGAGAAAAATTATTAAAAGCATCTCAGTCATTTAGCAATCTAATTCAGAAGCATTGAAAAATAAGGCTTCAGCTAGGCACTTAGAAAAAAAACCTCAGGGCTTTCTCAAATGTTTCTGTAAATGATAAATAAACAACAAGATGTACATCTTGAGAGGTTGTGTTCCCTCTTCTCCTCATGATTCAGTGACTGTGAAGACTTTTAGCTACTGGAAATGTGTGACATTCTTCTGTATTTGAGGCTGTGCTACCCAGGTCAAATGGGCTGAAAATACATACCCTGGTGGTATAGGCATACCTGCACATGTACCATCAGGTTCCACTTAAATGTTGATTTTCTTGATGTTTCCCTCTCTTCCTCACACATTGCTCTTTAAGAAGGGCACATGTTTCCCCTTGCTCTGCCTTAAGCCTTATTAGCTCCTGAAACCATTTTGCTGACATTCAATTTATTTAGATGAAGCTTCAGGAAAAACACTGGTTTGGCTTTTGTGTATCAACCAGAGAAGTTTGCTTTAAAACAGCTGGCAGGCTGCAGGGGAAAGGCAATGATGTGCAGCGTTGACTGTCAGCAGGGGATAACTTGCCTTAAAAGACAAAAGCCTTAATGCCTGGGAAAATGACAGCTTATCTGATTGCTCTGTAATCTCTTTTCAGCACTGGCTGACAGAGCTGGAGATCTTCGCTATGATATTCGCAGCTGCCATCCATGACTATGAACACACTGGAACCACCAACAACTTTCACATCCAGACACGGTGAGGCCACTGTAAATCATGATGAAGGGTTGGGAAATGAGGCGAAACCTTTGGAGAATAACAGCACAGACATTTAGAAAAGCGCAGGAGCTTTCGCTTTTGCTTTTGCTTTCCTGCTTTCAAGGAAAGTTCACTTCCTTAGGTTGCATTTAATTTTCTCTTGCTCAACACAATAGAGTGCATGTATTGTAGCTTCCTGATTATTGTTTCATATTAATAACCAGGAAAAAGGAAGGTCCCAAAACATTTCTGTGTAAAGTTGCCAAAGACAAATTGCTGTACAGAGTGATGCATTTTTATGAAGGTATAGTTTTGGAGGAGATACTGTAATTCGACAGTTTATTCTCCTTGTTGAATTTGAAGAATCAAACGTTAACTGCATAAATCAAAAATTCAACAATATCTGTATTCATCAGTGAACACCAACACTGCACATACTATTTTTACTTCAGTGGAAAACCACACCTGCAGCAAGGGGATATATTTACCATTACCTGTTAAAGGATAGCATTTTTTAAAGCTTTGTAAATTGCTAGATGATAATTAGCTGATCACAAACTAGACTGGACTGGCATATTTTTTGAACTCAGAATCTTCTATAAAGCTTTTGGGTTGGTAGAAGAGCGAAGGAGAAGATGAAGATGGCAGCAAAATTAGTAAGTGTGCAAAGATTGTGAAGTCTCTAGTTGCAGTCATAATTAGGCATCTAATGTCTGTGTATTATTTTGACAATGGGAGTGTACTGGTAGCAATGACAAAATGTCTAGATGTCCTCAACTGACACTGCACACTTGGGCATTTCTAAGATTCACACACTACCCTGAATTAGCTGTCTGGAGTACGTTAGCTGAATCATGCTGTGTATCAGAGATATATAAAGGTTGCTAGGATAAATCACACATACACTCAGGAAGGTTTGGGAATGTAGAAGGAAGTTTCTGTCTCTGTTCTGGGCCAAGCCATGCTCCGCTTCTTAGAGCTTCATGCATGCAAGAATTAGGGATCTGCTGTATTTCCCAAATACTTGTAGAAGAATTCAAGGAAGGACAGTTGTAATTTCATTTCTGTAACACTGAACATCAGAGGGTGTAAAGTGCCCGGGGAGAAAAAGATACACTGCTCTCTGGGAAACAGAACTGAGTGGGGACTGTAACAAATCATACTCACCCTCTGTTTCCATTAACTTCCAGCAAGAACTTCGTCTTTAGACCGGTTTAGCCATTCATCAGTCTCAGATCTATGTCCTGGAGCTTAAAATAAGGTGTGAAGTACCTTTGGTCTTACTCTATCCCACTGGCAATTGCCCTTCCAGACAGCATAGTCTAGGGCACAGATGGCAGAAAGCAGTTCAGATACATCTTGCTTACAGTCAGTTTGCTGTTCTGAAAACAATACTGGAACACATCTTGCAACTGGTTACTTGGGTACAGTCAGGCTTTAATGTGAGAGCAACATACACAAGAGCTGGAAAAGAGCCTCGTGATTCAACTCTAAATTTATGTCTCTCTCACAGCTCTCAGCATTTTTTTTTTTAAGTATATAACAAAGAGACCAGGTGAGTCTCAGCTGATGAAATAGATTTTGTGGTGAATTTTGGTCTTTAGTTTTCTTTTACTGAATAACAGCAATGAACAAAGTATTACAAGTGCTCTTCAAAATGCTCGTGTCTGTGCTATAGAACTAATCTCTGTAGCTGATCAAAGGAAAACTTCTGCATGTGAGGCTCTTTAGACAGGGAAGAAACATAACCTTTCCTGTGTTTTCTTTTAAATGCTAGGTCAGACTCAGCCATTCTATATAATGACCGGTCTGTGCTTGAAAATCACCACGTTAGTGCGGCATATCGTCTTTTGCAAGATGATGAAGAGATGAATATTTTATCTAATCTCTCAAAGGACGACTGGAGGTAAAAATTAACATGGTGGCTGCCTAGGAACATTGCAGCATCACCATAGACTGTTACTGCCTTGTTTGAATGGCAATATGCATTATTGCATATTGCGTATTGTAGTATTTCTATTGCTACAAGAAAAAGAGCTTTAAAAGGTGTTTGTCTTGCTTATTTCTGCTTTCGGTTTTCACTCTGGTAGTAAGACTACACTTTGTGACAATGGATTATAACATAAAAATTAACTCCCATATAATTTCTAAGTCTCACAGAGGCACGCTTTGTACACATCCATTTGTAACTGAGTGTAGAAGTAGCCTGCTGTTTGTTCATCCTAAAGCATAAACATAACCTTTATCTACTTTGACACCCCCTGACTGGAAATTATAAATGGGACTTAATGCAAAAAAGAATCCAGTCCAAAGAGCATGTATCAGTGTACTATATATGCCAAGGTGATGTAACAAGCTGTAATTTAAAATAAGCCTTATGCAACATATGATTTATGTGCCAAAATCAAAATATGATTTTCTTTCTAATAGCACCCCATTCAAACTGATGGGGGCTTTCTGTTTTTATGGGGTTTTTTGAACTCCAAGGGGTGGTGCTTTGAAAATAGCTGGACAGGAAGAATCCTTCTCCATGATCTTTCTCATGGGAGTGGAAGCAACTTGTGGGATCTTACATGACATATGGTGCCTCCTGCATACACTTAAATGTGATAGAGTGCTGAGCAGTCAGTTCATCTTATTTTAATATAAACATAGGGAAATGAGCCCTTCTCCCAGGCCTGGTTTCTAGCACGCTAGTCAGTGAAGACTCTGCTTGCTAATCTGTTTAGCCTGAATTTCCTGTTTATTTCAATTTGTGGACAGCGATGCAATCCTATAGCTGGACACCAGGAATAAAACTCAGGAACTTATATGGCTGATTTCAATCAATGTGAGTGTTGTGGAGGAGCGGCCTGAGAAATTCTATCCCCAAATATAGAAAATAGTCTCATGGTGGGCAGTAAGCAGGAGCTTAAAAAAAACCCCAAAACTGCATTGAGGTGTTAAAAATCTAATTTATTTTTTTAGCTACAGCTGGTAATGCCTTGTCAAATATTGGCAGCAAATTACTGCTTCCTTTTATATTGGTGGGGGAAACGCAAAGGACCTAACTGACTAGAAACAGCAGCCTTAGAGCCACTGTCTACAAGGAACAGCGGAGCAGCTAGTTGAGTATGCTTCATTGCATAGATACTGTCTTTAGGAAAATGGTCTGCTTTGGAGCTTTAAACTGTTTTCACTTGAATCAAAGCTAGCTTCAGATATTTCTTACTGATTCTGTAGCGTCAACATGGGTGTTCTGTAGAGGCAATATGCTTAGACCCAAAGTTCAAAGATTAACCCATCTCTTTAAGAAATACTGTAACTGCCTGAGCAAAAATATTGAGTGGTTTGGATTGCTTATTTGTTCTCTTTCAAGTAGGGCTTTATTATTTTGTAGCTGCTGATTAAGCAGCAGCTGCAGAATAAAGGCCATTATCTGGATGTGCTCTAATACCAAAACATTGTGATTTTTGTGTGCTTTTGATTTTGACTGCCAGTTTGAAATCCCATAGGCAAACATTTGGGAAGCACTGGAAACATCAACTGTTCAGCAGGATCCGAGCTGTTGAGAAAAAAAGCAGGAAGCCCAGAGTTTCCCAGACTGGCACTCAAAACCAGGATGCTCAGTATTGAAGGATGCTTTGGGAAACTATTAAAGTGTGTCCAAATTTAACTTTATTTTTGTAGACATATCTGATAAATCTCTGTCAGCAAAAGGCCCAAGTGATGGTTTTTGGAAAGCAAATTCTTAAGTGCTTTTCTGAGCTGAGCTGTCACTCCTTTTTTCACATTACTAGTAAGAGAAAATCTTATGGTCAGTGGATTTTGCAATCCTAGGTGTCTATGTGGATTTTATCACTTTTGTGGTATTCAATCATCTATTTCAGCAATGCATTTTCAAGAAAGAAATATAGAAAATGAGAGCTACATTTTACTGTTGGGAAAAAAAGGGGGACAGGTTTTGTAAGGAAAGCAGATGTGACTGAAAGAGACCTTTTGGGCTATAGTCAAGGAGAAAGAGAGTTGAATGCTTACTAGTACTTAAACTACACTTTTTCTCCATTTAAAAAAAACTCTGTTGCGTACTAAATATTTGAAAATCAGTTGAGTTGCCTCATTTCATGAGTCCAATTTGTGTAAGTCATCAACAAGTAAATGAAGAAACTATAACAAAAACAGATCACAGTGAATTAAGAAAATAAACGGCAAAGTGAACAGATGCTTTCCAAGATACTGTTATAGATGTCTTTTCTGGCACTGTATTTCATTGTTAATAATTTCCATGCACTTTATTGAAACAGAGTATGTTTAGTGCAAGCCCTTTACCGTCAAGTACAGGATTAAAAAGGCATCTGGAAAATGTTTAGCTCCTTAACTCTGTATTGGACTACAGCTTTGGGAAGTAACCTTTAATGCAATACTGACTTTGTCAGTAAAGCTGCTTGGGGTTTTGTCCCTCAAATAATTCTGAGCCCTCCTTGTCAATCTGTGTTACTCGTTCTGAGATTCCGGTGAGAAACCTTGAATTTTTTTTGACTGAAGACAACTTTGGTCAGAGCCTTTTGTACATAATAGCATGTGCATGGTTGCATAATCACACCCTTTTCTTGTCAAAGTTTGTTTCTATGCATTCAGGATGGACACATGCATATTCTGAGTGTTACACCTTTAGTAAGAATCGGCCATTGAAAATATTGCCTTGAATGTAGTGTTTTTCTTATTCCTATTCCATGAGAATAAAGTACTGAGACTTCAACTGGACAAAATGAGCAAAAGATCTCACTTCCAGAGATCTTACTGTTGGTTCCTAGTATAGGGATTAAGTGATCTAAAATGGCCTTTCTCCTGTCCTTTTCCTATGAGTGCAAGGGGATGTATGCCTCTCACTAGGATATAGCTCTAATGTGGACACTGATATGGAGAGAAGGCACATCCCACAAAATATCCAACAAAATGGTGTAATGTTCTCTGAGGCAAGAAAGGTAAAACCATGAAGTAATTATTCTAAAGAATAATTACTAAAGAGAAAGTGAAGATATTTGCCAGATGGATCAATGCAAGGCTTGGAAGTAATTACATGCAAAGTCAGCCAGAGTCTATCTTGGTAATCAGAAGTAAAGATTCTGTAAAGCTGTGCTTGCTCATGGGACTGTGCCAGATACCATGTTTACACCTGAATCATCTGCAGGACATTGGTTAGAAGACAAAAAATCAAAGCCATGACAGTGGCCACAAGATGACTTATTATTCAGCATATAACAGTAATAAACCAGGGACTTCTCTTCAGGTTTCCCTCTTCTCCAATTGCTTTTTCCCGACCGTGTTCCCTGACAACCTGCTCTCTCTACCTAATTGTTCCTTTCCCTAATTCTGCAGGGGTTATCAAAAGGCAACTTACCTTGGAATTTATGTTCAAATTTGGTAACTGCTAACTTTTTCTCAGTGATAGATTATAGGTGTGAGAATGTGATGTCTCCCTGGATCCTGGCCTCTGGCCTTAGGGAAATGTGTATTGTACCATGAGAGAAAATATCTGGAAGCGTAATGAGAAATATTAAAATCCCTAATTAGTCAGCCAAGTTACATAGCCAGGTGTAGAAAAAAGACTTTGAGCACACAAGGGATCTTCAGTTGAGGAGCTCTGCAAGAAAATCCATTCCCAAGCCCTAGCAGAGCCATAATATTCTCAGTAGTCACCAATTTCCTGTGAATTCTATTTTTGTTGCCACATGAATGAGAAACTCAAGCCCAGTTTTTCACTCTGCCACAGATCCTGGGTGGCTCGGCCAACTCATTTTTGTTGGAATTCATCTCACCTAATGTGAAGAAGCAAATTGTCTAAGCTTTCTTCTTACTTAAGGGAGCAAGGCAATACCTCCAAAGGAGAATTCATTCCACTTATCTGAAGATGACAGGAGCCATTTGGAGCCTCAGAGGGAGATGTTGCTCTGGATGAGCCTCTGGAGATGCTGATCTCCATCCAGTCTCTACAGCAAAACCAGCTGAACAGGCTTACATAGAAACCTAGAGACAGCTGAAGTCTGGCAGTAGTGACAGGAATGGATAGAAGGCTTAAACAAAAATACTTAGCACGCACTATGTTCCCACAGTGGTTGTCAAGACAAACAGTAGAAATATCTTTGAAGATGCACTAGATGAATTGAAGGCAGACAGATTCCAGGGTGGTGATCAGCCATTGCAGTTAGGGCTCAACTAGAAGCTCAGAAAGTTGTTTGAGCTCTTACTGCCTTCCTGAACACTCCCTGATTGTTCCAAGCTCCATAACTGGGAACTGTTAAAGGATGAGGGAAACCCATGATTGCATGTGACTTGGCCCAACCAAATTCCAACACTGTATCCAAAGCCATGAGCATCTTAGATGGGCTGTATGAAATCACCATAAACATTGGCAGTCAACATCACCCGTGGCAGTACTTGTGTCTCCCTCTTGATGTTGATGAGGCCTTTTTCTGTGCAGCTCATTGAGAAACCTGCAGAAATGCTGCCACCAGCGTGTGCTGTGTGATGGAGCAGAGGACAGAGAAGTGCAAGCTAACAAGGTGTAGCGCAGCTGCTGCTATGACTTTTAGGCCAGTTTCAACAACCATAGAGCTGCTTATGCTCGGGACCAAGCTTTTGTGCATGCAGTCTGTCATTCTGCAGTCCCTTAATTGCCACGGCAGTGGTGTTTTCAATTCTAAGGCCAGACCTGGATGCCCTTCCCTGAGGAGTAACATGCTCCACTGCCTTCTGTGAACATGTCCTGAGTCTCCTGTGTTGACTGTAGACTGCCCCTGTGAGTTGCAATGTTTGCTAAAGACATATTTGGAAGGAGTTGGGCCCTGTCTGTCTCAAGCCCTGATCCAGACTGCCCGATTCTGATTGAAGTTGTGTCAGTTGCTCCTGATTTTGTCTGCAGTAAACAGGA